TGGGGGGTGGGGGGGAGGGGCCTAGCAAGGCATCTTGAGATAATTGGGAAAACACTGGGGTGGAGAGTATCAAAAATAATTTGTTACTGAAAACCAGATTTGTTTGTTTGCTTTGTTTTGTTTAGTTGTTTCAGAAGCTTTTAAGTTCTTCTAATGGTTATCTAGAGATGTCATAACTTTGCCTAAAGAGCATCCCTAAGCTACATGAGTTTGAAACGGTGCTGGGAAATCCAGGTTGGCCTATTCAGCAGACATAACCTTTTAGCTACTGGGAATGCGTCACCCTACGAGCATTACAGTGCTTGTGTGATTGACCTTGATGTAGACATCCCTGTCTCTGCATCAGACTGGCCTCTTGCCTCAAGCTTGCATCTGCAAATTGCACTTCGGTCAAAGTGGAATGCTACTCCTAGTGTTTTGAGGAGGCAGAGGTATACAGGCTCTGTTAAGGTGTTTGGTTCCCCCGCCCTCAACATTTGAAACTAGAAGTCTAATGTTCTATTTGACCACTAATTGGTCCTTTTGTGACTTCCTATCTGCATTTTTTGCTTTATGTAAGTCAGTTGCAGTTTATGGGACTGCAGGATAGAGACGATGAAGTCAAGTAAGGGTCTCGTTAGATAGGAAAGTTGGGAATGTGAACTCTCAGAATTCATCATAGAATGACATTGGTCCTGTAGGTGATGACCATAGGAGTTAAAAGGAAACTTGCCAAAGGGTTTTAAAATATATAGGTTAAGGTTGCTGGCTTTGATCTCTTGAAACAGTGTATGAACAGGAACTTCTGAATTACAGACAAGTGCAAGAAGTCACCCCCCTCCAAGAGCAAGCCAGTTTCTTCTGTCAGCCTTGTTGCTTATTGGCTGCTGGAAGAAAAAAGAGGGCTCTTGCTGTGGGGAGAGGGTGACCTTGTGTTGTATTGAAGTACATATATGAGTATATTCTAATGGTGCAGCTTCATATTGCAGCTAATTAATCTGACAGCTGGTTCCCTCTGTAAGAGGTGGTCATCATTCCCCTGCCTGAAACTGATGCTGGGCTCCTGCCTCCTTTATGTTGCTGCTGCAGAAGGCCAGTTCAGAGAGTTGAACGGGCAGAAAACTGAGTTTAAAATCGGATAACTTCTAGCTCCCCAAGACACTTCACTAAGGGAAAAGAGAGGAGTGAATCTCCACTTTTGGCCATTAGATTAGCTGCAATAAGAAAAAAATATGCATCAGGGTGGACTTCCATGGGCAACTGGCTGCTGTAAGGTTGTGCTCCCCTTGAAACAAATGGTCTGCTGTTCCTGCCCAGTTTCAGCCATAACTGTGAGCTGGATCTGACTCTGATTTGAAAGAAAGCTAAACTTCAAAGAGTGTTTGTACTGTGTCCACCAACACCCACCCCTCCAACCCCCCAAAACAAAGCCCAACACAAATAATCTGCAAATTTTGAACCTTATTTATCATGTTGTAATGCTCGTGTAACCTCTATTATACAACTGCTCTACTTGCAAACAAACCCAGTTGCATCAGCAAGCTGATCTGTTTCATCGCTCTGGCAGGAATGGGTGGAATCAAATCTTTTGGCAGCAACACATAGTTTGATCAGTTTATGCTGACTGAGAAATGGGGAAGTTAGATTGAAACTAAAAAATAAAGTTTCAGTTTATTTAGTCATATTCAGTTGTACACAGCATTTCTCAGCATCTCTGCCCTGTGCTGAAGCTGTAATGGTGTAATTTACCTCTGAAACAAAAACCAAAGTTTATAATGAAACAAAAAATTTATCATTTACCAGAGTCTTGGTGCATTTTTTTTTTATTAAACTTTATTAGGATAGCTTGACTTTCAAACTAATTGAAACACTACTGTTTGTCTTGTTTCCAAAAATACTTTGTTTTTTATATTGCAATCACTTAGCTAAGAGGAGGAGTAATTAAAGTTATTCTCAAGTTGCACAATTTAGTTTATTTAAAAATGCTTTATATAGTTTTTAGATGAAGTTATAAATGTTCACTTTGGAACTACCTGAAGATTAATAGTGATGCATTTGAAATGCATTATTTTTTTATTGATTCTTAATGTAGTAAATTACTGAAGTTACTTGGCAGCAAACAGAAATAGCCAGTGATGTTGTTCACATTTATTTTCCTGATAGCGTCACAATTTGCATTAATTGCATTGCAGCTGCACTCACTTATATTAAAAAGCTTCTACTATAATTAATCCTTTTTATTTCAAATCATTTTGGCACAATTTCTAGCAATAAACACTCATAAAAGACAGACACTTGAAAAATAACATACAAGTTTCTTCCATATACCTATTGCTGTTTTTTCCTGACAAGGAATTATTGATAGGCTTCTAGGATCAAGTGTTGCAAGTAGCTAAGACTTAAGACCAGTTTGAAAAATGCTAAGTGGATTATTTTGCATAAAAAATAGACAGGTTTTGAATTTGTGTAATTAACCTGTGTTTAGAAAATACCTTGATTTATGTCTACATTTGTATTTCAGTTGCATACATTATGGAAATTTAGTTTATAATCCATTTAGCTGATGTGATCATAGTTTTTAGTGCTATCATTTATTAGTCCTTGTATATTAAATGCTCTAAAGGCTTAAACCTGCCTTATGTAAAAAATTACACCTCTACATTTACATTTTATGAGTCATAGATGGAATTCCATTTTAAATTCGGGTAGCTTTGATATATTTAAGGAATTACAATGGCTTTATTGTTACTAATGCAGGAACAGCAAACACTGACCTTATACATTGCAAATTAATGATTTATCCCTCTAGTTTGCTTTTAAAGTCAACTATACAAATGAGGATTTCGACTTCTACACCTTGAATAAATCATATAGCTCTAAATATAATGCAGCCTTTGGCTTTGAACTCGTTATTCTCAATTCTTTCTGCAAGGTCTAACTCACCTCATAGAAATGTTCTTTCAAAAGTTTAAGGAATTGTGTATATTTTTCTTAGCGTCTTTGTTGGAATATCACTGAGTGATTACAGCTACATTTATTATTCTTTTCCCCCCCCTTTTTTTTTTTTGTTCATTGTGCTTCCTTTTCTAAGTTGGCGGCAGATTATGGAGGAATTAAGTAGTGGCAAAACACTGCTCTTGAAGAGTAAAAAGAGAACAAACAGTGATGTTATGTTGATGATGCCTTTTCTGATCAGCCTGGCAGTGATATTAATGATACTGTAAAGATTTGGTTGTCATTGTTTGAGGTGCTGATGTGGCAAACAAACCAGACAATGGGAAAGGCTATGCACAGACAGCATGTTTCAGGGATTTTTTTAAAGGCAACGGTCTTTTATTTTTCCTTTATTCATGTAGGCTTTCTCTAAACGGTGTCATGCTTTCTGTCTCTGAAGTTTGCATCTCTCTCTCTTTTGAGGGCTACCATAAGTAGTTTTTTTCTTCCAATCAACACAAAGTTGTTACTTACTGTATGAAAAATATGCAAGTCGCTTTGCATTACATTGAAATGTCATCATACGGTAGATCATCTGAGAGTGGTATTGCTGGAATTTTATGTATTTTTGAAAATTCTTGAGGAAACTCAGTCTACAGTAAAATTTTCATGAGTGCTGAAAATACAGGTTGGGCTCACTTTTGGTTCAGTAATCTTTTGACAGGTCTAACTGTCAGGCACAGGAAAGACTGGACACATGATACAGGCAAAATTGATAAGCTCTCATCTTGGAAATCAGGATGGTTTGATAATGCCATTAAGCAGTAGAATTCACCAAAAATATGTAGCTGTGAATCTGTATAACATGCAAGAGAAGTAGTTTATTTGGATTAGTTTAAAATGTACTGGTTTTACATAGATGTCTTTAAGGGACAGACTGTTTTACATGTAGCAATTGATATGAATGGTAAAATATTGCTTGTGATGATGCTAATGGAGGTAGAGATGCTAACTTTTTTTGGAAGACATTGTTGATGCAGTTGCATTGTCCTTTAGAAAACTGTGCTTTTCTTGGCAGTCTGTGCAACTGATATGCTTCCTGTTTGCTATCATACTTTGGACAAGAACATTAATGATGGATAAGCGGTGACTTTACCTTTTAAATCACCACAAAATTAATTTGTAAATTTTGGGAGCTTGGTATTTCACAGGAATATTAAAATTTCAAACTTCGGCTGAATATTTTTAAATTCATGCAACATATGGACTATTGCCATACCAGAAGATCCTACTGAGGCACCAAATTAAGAAGGAATTACAAAAAAGATGAGAAATAGACAGCAGCCTTCAGAATTCCTGCATGTACAACAATAAAAGCTAATGTGCTTTTAATTGCTTTGTTTTTCAGGCTCTTTATGAAAATATGCTGGTGGAGCTGCCATTTGCTAGTTTTTTCCTCTCAAAATTATTGGGGACAAGTGCTGATGTTGACATTCATCATTTAGCCTCATTAGATCCAGAAATGTACAAAAATTTGCTTTTTCTCAAGAGCTATGAAGGGGATGTGGAAGAGCTTGGACTAAACTTCACTGTGGTGAATAACGACCTTGGGGAAGCACAGGTAAGAATGGCTTTAGCTTTTTTTTTTCTTTTATGTATGACTGATGAACCATTACTACCCCTAATAGTTAATTTTTTAATTTAAAAGTAACAGGAAAAACTGTTAAAGGTGCTGTGTGTTGTGAGGCATCATCAGGATTCTAACTCCAATATTTAGAGTAGACAATAACTACTCTTGTACTTAAAAAAAAAATAACTTTTGATGATGACTTAAAGGTCTGGTCTTTTAAGCAGTAAACTGCAGGGATTATTTTCTAACAGTCATACCTGAAAAGTTCTATTGTCTGAGATAATTTCTTGATCAAAATATTTTATGTTGTTTCTTTGATTGCACTTCAATTGCAAAAGTTAGATGATATGTGAACTATAGAAGTACTGCCTGGTTTTGGAATCAGAGTTAGAAATCAGAATGGTTTTAAATAATAATGACCCTTTATCCTGAGATAAGCATTGTCTCCTTTAGCTTTAATTTTCAAAGTAGAGGGCCTAAAGTTAAACCTTAATTTTTTGCCCTCCCCCCCCCCCCTTTTTTTTTTTTTTTTGAGGGGCTGAGGCACCATATCAGAGGGGAGAAGTGGGTGTTCAGTGCTTCTAAAAAGCAGTTAGTTAGGGCCAGTTAATTATGTCCTTATAAGTGTGAGTTTTTAACGCAATTGTACTATTTAATTTGATTATGGCTTTTATTTGCTCTGTTGCGAGTACTAAAGGTCACATGCTCATAGTAGAAAATCAATGTCACTAGAGCTTGACAAGTGTGCCTTTCTGTGCTGATACAGTTAACCCCATTAGTTGAAATCTTTTGTCATGCTTCCTCCTTCATTTTTGAGGATTTAAAGTTGTGTACTACTTATGGCCTACTTATACTTGATTATGGTACTTAATAACTGGATCAAAAAAATAGACCTGACAACACTGTGACATACAGCAGCATCCAAATTCTGCCTTGTTTCTTGTGGAAGAAACAGAGACCATAAAAGGAGGTAGGTGGTTCTCTTGGGTTTGCCTGTTGGCCAGGGGAGCCTGGGACTATGCACATCTCACAGAAGGAGCAGTCCTGGAAACAGGTTGAGTTCTCTACTGCTGCTTAAATCATAGCAAGTTTGATGTCCAAGACTTCTGCTTTAACAGCATCAGGCTTGGACTTGATCTTTACTCTTTTGTCATCCAATTCCTGTCATTTTATAAGATCCTGAAATTTGGATTGCATTACCATTTTAAAATAGCATCCTTAGATTTGGGGTTCCTGAATCATACTGAAGGGGAGAGTCAACAATTGCCTGATATAAATAATGTTTCATATTAAACATATGGCATATGTAATTTTTTTCCCCTGGCTTATGCTCCCTACATGAAAACTTTTGACCTGCGTTGTCTTCAGAAAAAACTCAAAAATTAGCTGCACAAGTTAGAACCGACCTTAACAAGTAAGGTAGAAGGACACAGAAAAGAGAAATAGCTTAGAAATAACATACAAGAAGATCCCAGTCAAAGATATTGCCAGCTCTACCTACTGCAGCAAAATCTTGTAAAAAGTGCATTCTTGCCAAGAAGTCCAATTTGTTAGTTAAAATTCTCTAAGGGCTACGGCCAGTATTATCAAGGCTTGATTTTTGATTGTTTGGTGTAACTTTAAAAGGAAGATTAAATATAACCGTGAGTTTTTTGAGTAACTAAATTAAATGTAAGTTAAATTAAATATTCTGATGCCGTATTGCTGTTTATGCTTGGAGGGATAGCACTATACCTGTGAGGTATTAACCATCTTTTAATGAGACTGAGTGTTAGTGTGGTTCAACAGAACTAATTGGTTCTTGTTACTGTCTTCTGTGTTTTAATGCAACAAGTTACTTTTTATACTTTGTTTCATTACCTTAATAAACCTCATATGGATAAATACATTTTGTCTGGTATTTGACTCGTGTAACCATTGCATACTAATTAATTGTGTCAAGGTAAGGCTAATTCACTTTGGGAAAAGAGCTTAATTTGCACTCCTTATGTTGAATGTACGTTATATCTAGTTTTCAGCTAAACAACCACTTTAGTGTCTAATAAATTAGTGCCTAATAAATGCATCATAAATCTATCACTGTAAATAGCTATCCTCATGGCAGCGTCCATCCAGCAATTGTGGCACAAAAGCATTATCTGCAATGAAAGACACATTCAAAAGGGGCTCTATTGCCTGTCAGTAGTAGAAAGTAGAAATTCTATTATCAGCGTATTGATTGCAATCCTGTAATGTGCTTTTAGATCCCATTAAACTATTGTCAAAGTGTATTCACCAGAAGTTGAAAAAGGTACTTAATAATTTGCACATTAGACCTGCTAATTAGGGGAGCTATGCCATCAACCTTATCTTCCAACCCCAAATAGCTTTAGTTTTTGATAAAGAAGTATCTAATGCAGTGATACCAGCCTAGACTTCAACTGTTGGATCTGCTGCATAAAATGGTGGCCAGTAAAAAAGTCTCCAAAAGAATGTCAGCCTATAGTTACAGGTGCCTTCAAATAGCTGTGTATATTGATTTTATATTTCCTTTTATCTTGTAGATTAGATGGTGATAAAGTGGTTATAAAATGCTTATAGTAAGTGTAAGGTTAACAAATGCAAGAAAATACCTCCTCTTTTCAGACCTCCCTCTCTCCCCCTCTCTCAGTGAGGAAGGTGAGTTTTGTGGCTGCCCGGGGGAAAAGATGAAGATTCAAACATGTATTCCTCTTCCTTCAAAAAAGTCAGAACAGTTGAATATGAGAAGACTCCATAAATAAAGCGTAGAAGCACAAATCCACAGAAGAGCACTAGAACATATACGGCAGCAGTTTCTCTGTAATCCACAGAGTATAGAAGTTGGTGTCAGGGCACCTTCTCGGGCTTTTTAAAACACTTATGAATGCTATTGCTGTTACTGAAAATATGTTGACTCACTAAAGGTGAGTTCTCTGCCTTTAAATTTCCCTGAGAGAAAATTTTGAAGCCTTAAAAATAACTCTGAAAGTTTCTGTCTTGGCAACTTCTTTACTAGGATGCAGTGGCTTAGATGAATGATTTTGGAGGTTTTTCAGAAGCAAAATATTTAAGTTGAGGCTGATCCTTCTCAGGCAGATTTATAACGCTTATGGCAAATGCATTCTTAGGCATTCAAATGCAATCTCCTACCTGGAATTCGGGCCTGAACATCTGGAAGGCAGATGACAGGGAAAGAAAGCAAGCCTTTATCTCCTTGTTTTCAGACTGGGGAAAAACTTTAGGGGTGATGTGAACAAAAGTGATCAGAGTCCAAGAGAAAAGATAAAATATTTTCACCTATCCTAAAAACAAGTTTGTAAGAGTTCTTGGCTATCTGTAAGAGTGCTTTTTGAAATTGCACTGGAGATAGGTTTTACGTCTTCATACACAAAAAAAAAGAATACCTAGATGACAGGTCCCTTATTGTTTCCTAAAATATTTGCCACTTCATCCTTCAAATACTCCCTTTTTCTCCATTATCCTGGGAAGCAGCTGCCAGTGCCGGATCTGTGTGAGCAGCAGCTAGCATTAAGTTTGTCTACCAACAGAGACTTGCTGTTGTCTGCATGTAATCACATTACAAAGTGACTTTGTGCGGCAGATAATTATCAATACTCCAGAAGATAAACCCCCAGAATTCTGCTTGACAAATATGTTATTCACTGTTTTCCTGATTTTTGGTGTGTATATATTTCATTATTACTCTAATGTTCAAAAAAATAGATATAACAACAGCAAATGATTGTCTGAACCATTCACTTGAACTGCAAGCATACATAAGAGTTACCTTTTTTTATGAATTGTGGTGGTTTTAATAAATAAAAATATAAATGTAAGTTGAGCGCATTTTTGTAGTATGAACTTGCAGAAACATATAGTTGAATTTATAACTAAGAAAACCAGAAGTGCATGCAACCGTAGCTCCAAGTATATCTAACCTTCAGTCAGAGGCCTAATGCAATACTTCTGTCCACATCACTAAAAAATGCAAAGCACCTTTTCTTGCATATTTTTAAAAATACGGGACTTTTATATCCCATTTTGATATTTCCCCTTCATTTTGGAAACATACTTTTTGAGTATGGAATCAAATTGTTATCTGTGGTATTGTCTGAATGATCTGAATGCTAACCTAAATAGCACGTATGATTTGATTACTTCTAAAATATGTGATTTTGATAATGAAGTTGAGTTTTTTTTAAACTTAGATTTACAAAATAGAAAAGATGATGATGCAAGTCTGCACATTTTGAGTTTTCTATTTTTGCCCATCCTGTGTAACTATCTTGCACCATCTAGTGGTGAAAATTGGATGGATAAAAATAAAAATTCAAACTGATAAAACTTTTTAGGTTTTATAAATCGTGTTGTGGCCTTTTTGAAAAGGAAGTCTTCAACAATCATTCCTGATGTTTAGAATTCAGTGGGAATTCTACAATAGTCCCTTTAAAATGCCATGAAAACAATGAATGAATAAAAAGCAAACTGCATCTACATTTACTGTACTTTCACTGCCAGCCCAAGTGTTGCCATTTTCTGTCTTCTGTTTTACAGCCTTCTTAGCCTTTATGGCATAATATATTTATTATTCCTGCTACATTAGCCCCTTTGCTTCAGACTGTGATGATACTTTGACAAAATGGTGGTAGAATTAATCTCACTTTGGTAAACTCTGAAAATGGATAGTTAGGGCACTGGAAAACCCTAGGAAATTTGGCGAACTGAATGCTGTAGTCTTACTTGTGGCAGTGCAAGGTTGGAGGGAGGAAGGGAAGCTATGGAAGTGTTGCTAGGTCAGAAATCAAGGTTTGCTATTTAAAAATATAAAAAGAAAAGCAAAAATGGCATTTTTAAAAAAAGCACTTTTTCCCATTTTCTAAAAACAGGGGTCAGAAAAAGTACAACAGGTTTTTTTTCCTCTGATTTGCAGGAAGAACATTATCAGGAGAGAGAAGCTTTTATTATACGATGAATACAGCTTTCCCGGCATCCTTAGAGCACTGCGGAGACAATACTATTATAATGCAAACATAAGCATAAATTAATCTGTGTCCTGATCTCTATTTGCTGACCTGCAGGGCAGGTTAGACGTTATACTTCATCCGGCGCTGGGATGAATCTTAAAACACAGCAGTTTTCTAGAACACGCTGTCAGTATTTCCCTTTTGCTATTTTTAGGAAGGAAGTCAGTTCAAGCATCTTTTTATGTAAATAGTGAGCTCACAGAAATTATTGTATGCAAATGGAATAATAATTATTAGTTTGTTGGTGGTGGCCGGGTTCTTAAGAGAAGCTTGATGAGTTGGGTGATACAAATATACTTTAATATGGGTAAATTCAATGTGTCTGTACTTCAAGGAGAGGAATGGTATTTAGTGAAGTACTGACAAAAGAACAGGTAATTATGCAATTCTGCAAAATAAATAGAGAAGATTTGTAAGCGGGCAGATAACAAAGTATTACTAGTGTCGAGGTCTTGACGATGATCTGTTCATGTGGAACATTATTGGTAGCTCTGATCCTGTAACACTAAAGAGGACAGGAATTTAAATAAGTAAAAGAAAGCTTTCTGATCTTGTTAGGCTTTGTAAAAGGGTATTTTACAGAAGGAAATTAAAGGAACTTGACTTATTGTAGTTCAGTGAAAACATCTTTGGGAAGATTAATGAAGTTGCTGCCTGTAAGCAATACATCAAGGATAGGTAAAGAGCTGGTTAAGCTACAGGGCAGTATTGAAATAAGAACAGTGGGTATGAACAAGCTTTACCCGTTGGACTCAAAGTGGAGATTAGAATGTTTCTAATTATTAGATGAATCCAATTATTGACTAACTTCCCAGTGAAAGTAAAACTACTATAGTGGGATGAAACTGCATTTCTAGACCGCGTTGTTGCCTGCAGTAGCAGAGGAGAAAGCTTAGCAGCACAGGGGCCCCTTCTCATCAGACGTTTCCACTGCAGCGTGGAACACGTCCCATACCTCTCTTAATACTCCTTTAGACTTTACCAATAAAAATATCCTCGCCCTCAGGCCAGTCAGTGGCACCAGCTACTGGCCTGTACCCCCTAGACTGGCCGGCTACATCGCATGCCAGCCCCCTCAAGGAGTGGACCCCAGAGAGGGCTATCCTGCCTCATGTGTCCATGGGTCTTGCTTGGAAGGGAGCAAACCAACGCGTGCAGGGTGTGAAACAGTGCTACCTACACCCAGGGATGGTGGGGTATTGATGTTTTTTACTGTAGGTGTAACAAAACCGGGAAGCTTGCAGCTGAAGGATTAAAGTGGGAAGTAAGACGCATTTTTAACAGCTATTGTAATTCAGGTTATTCTGGTTTATCACGGAAAATGGTAAATACTCCATCACATGGAGTCTTAACACCAAGATTGCCTGTCTCTATAAAAAATGTGCTCTAACTCATCTCTGGATTTATTGAGTTAAATACAGGAATCTCTAGACAGAATCCTCTGGCCCTTGTTATCTAGGAGGTCAGATTCACAGATCTTAATGTTCTCTTTTGGCCTTAAAAACCTATGAATCAAGTGAAAATCTGAATGCTCAAAAGCACTGCGGAATTTTTAATCTCACCACTTTGCATCTGCTTAGAACTGGAACAGCTCACATTATTCGGTAGCATGTTGCAGAAGCAGTTATTCACGTGTTTAATTCTCTGTGCTCTAAAGATGTGATCATTACCACAGACTGAAATGGATAGTTGCTTAAAAAAAAAAAAAGAAATTAAAAAATTGCTGACTCCAAAGTGTAGAAAACCAAACTTTTTTCTGAAGACTTCAGAAGGTATCTCAGCTTTCTGGTTTGTTTTTTTTTTTTTTTTTGTTGGGTTTTTTTGTGTGTGTGTGGTTTTTTTGTTTTGTTTGTTTGTTTGTTTGTTTTGTCGTCGTCTTAGTATTCAAATAATCCTTTCAGGTTTGGCTACTACTTGGTAAAATTATCATCTTGTAGTAATGAGCAGAATATGTAAAGGTCAGTAGTGTTTTAATAACGACTACTGATGATCGTGGTTTATATCTTTATGCAATTACAGTATCTTTGTTTTGTTTTGTTTTTTCATTAAAAATTCTTCCATGCTGAAGTGTCTTGGTGTACTTGAAGGAACAGAACTTGTCAGTAGAATAACCAAAAAAAGCTCAAGCCTAAACCTTGTTGATTTTTATTTTTGTTGAAAGTTCTGAACATGTATAACTTGGGTTTTCAACAGTAGGGATTGTAAATGCTTGTCGTTCTGTAAATTAGGCTTGTATCAGAATCTGAATTTTGACTCGGTGGATGTTGCTTTTACTGTAATGTGATCCTGCAGAACTCACGATCACCAAACAGTTAGGGAAAAGCCTAGCCAGTCAAGCCCAGCTTTCCTAATCCAACTGGAAGGAGAGTGCTGTGTGAGAGATCTGTGCTTACACAGGCTGCTCTCTCTTCCAAGGCACTTCTTTAGCATCAGTGAAGCTAGGGGCGAGCTTGCCAAGGGGAAGGTTTTCACCTCAGTTTCTGTCTGACTTGCAGTGGTGAGTTTAGTATTACACACTGTCTCCTATAAAAGAGCTCAGACTTTGCCGAATCTGCTTTCTGGTCATAAACCAAGGGGCCGTGAGGTCAGCTGGAGGTCTGGGTCTAAGAACTGGATGCCATAGGATGTGCTCTTATGAGTAAACAGAAAAAAACCCTACCTTTATAACTTGTCGTAGTCTTTTATCTTATTTTGAGGTGAATATTCCTGAGTATATGCTAGTAAACTTCAAATATATACATCACTTACTAGAATGTTTTGCAGTTCAATTTTATGGTTGCAGCACACACAATTAAAGTTTACCAAGGTGATGAAAATTGTTGTCTTTATAGGTGGTTGAGCTGAAGCCAGGTGGAAAAGATATTCCTGTTACCAGTGCTAACCGAATCGCATACATCCATCTGGTGGCAGACTACAGGTTAAACAAACAAATTCGACAGCATTGCCTTGCTTTCCGGCAAGGACTGGCCAATGTTGTGAATCTGGAATGGCTTCGAATGTTTGATCAACAGGAAATACAGGTACTTCTGGTTAAAACTGCAGAAAACTGTTGCTTTAAACAGAAATAAATGCTAACTTTTGCCTGTAATGTAATTGTCTAATTTCCTTCACTATTAGGTTCTGATTTCTGGTGCCCAGGTTCCTATTAGTTTGGATGACCTTAAATCTTTCACAAACTATTCAGGTAAGTTATTTTACTTAAATAAAAAAATGTATGACGACTGACTCAGGAATAAATAAACTTACTTTTTATCCTAGCTTTTAAAAAAAGTTGTAGGGTCCTTTTTGTTAACTTTGTCCAAACTTTCTAGACGGGCCTGAATTTCAGAAGATTGGGTAAAATTACAGCCTGATTTTATAAATGCTGGGAGATACAGCTATGCAGTTTATTTTAGTTCTACACATAAATATGAGTTTGTAGCCAGATAATTAGAGGACAGGTAATTCCTTTTCTAAATGGATGTTAGTCGATGTTGCGTCTGGTTGCCCTGAAAATAAGTCTGCAAATCACTTTGGGATGGTTGATTCTATCACCGCATTCAGATCCTTACCATTTCTGAGACAGCCTGAAGAGAGAGCACATATTTTTTCCCTTGTGAGAAATGCAAGGTATCTTACTTCATTTTTCCCTGTGTTTATCATTAATGTATTCAAAAAGCAGCTGGTATATCATCAGTTCACATCTGAGCTTACCTCAAGGTAAGTTGATTCATTAAATAACATCCTGAGTCTTGCAGATTTTGCAGACTCCTGGAATAAAAGGCCATAATCCAAAGTTACTAGGTAAATGCTAAACTAAGTACAATTAATTGAAAATAAACAAATAGGATTCAGTGAGGAAAACTGCAGTTAAGAGGCTGAGGGAGATAGTAGCAATGAATGAGAAACTCAAAATGCAGTAATCGGAGATCTACAGATACTGGAAGTCAGCAGTGTAAGCCTGCTGGTTTTAATATTTTCTCCAAGCTTTTCAAGATGGATGTTAGGTTTTCTGAAGAATTGATTTCTTACATAAAACTATTCTACCTATAAATCATGTAAATCTCATTGTAGGTGGCTACACAGCAGACCATCCTGTAATCAAAATATTCTGGAGAGTTGTTGAAAGCTTCACTGATGAAGAGAAACGCAAACTACTCAAGTTTGTAACAAGCTGCTCTCGACCGCCTCTTCTGGGGTTTAAGGTATATGTCTTCCCAACTTCCTGGCAAGTTTCTGTGAATGCTACAGACTATGATACAAGCTTTTCTTGTCTGTAGGCATTTACGGTTTGAGAATAACGCTCCTCTGTGACTACAGAAACAGCTTCAATGTTTGCGCTTGTGCGTATAATGAGTATAGTTTAAAAATATTTAATGAAATGTTGTTGTTTTCTATTTTAACTGCAAAATTTGATAAGCCTAAAACCATGTTGGTTGGAGCGCTTACTCTTTGTCATGGAAGATCCTTGCTGGCATTTCATGTAACTGTACAGAAGCAGTATTGCTTGAGCTAAGAATAACTGAGTTAAGAATAACGTCTTTTAAATTGGGCAAAAGAGGATTTAGGATATAAAAGCAGCTATTAAATTTGAACCTCTCAAATTAACCATTTGAAAAGGGAGATGTATTGTGTTTTCTTCTAATTAGCATTTATCTGCTTATAGGGTCACAGCTTACTACCATTTGTATCTACATATTTTGCTGCTATCTTTAGATTGCTATTTACAGTGAAGCCTAAGTATGAAGAAAACTCTTGTCTACAGCTTATAAAACTAGAGAGGCCAAGGCAAGTTGAAGACATTTTGAAACTAAATTCTGGGGATGTTCTACCTGTGAGTTTCAGCTGGGCTGTAAAATTCTGGCTAAGAACCAGCCATGGACTTAATTTCCTCTAAATTGTGGGAACATTCAATGCCTTTCTATGAGAAAATAGAAGAAGAAATTGCTTCATAGCAAACACCATCGCCTTTAATACAGTGGTCAACAGCATGTTTACTGTTGTACTGTTTAGTAAAATTAATACAGAAGGGGGCTTATATGGAACAAATACAGGCATTGCATCATCCAGTTCCTTACAAGTAAGAATAAGACTTGTTCCTAAACAAAATCTGAGTACACGTACTTAGTATTTCACATTATAAGGTATTCTGATAGAATATTTAATTAGCAGAGGATAGTAACTAATTTCCTACATTTATTAAGTCAAATACGTAGATGAACCTATAAGAAATTAATGCAGGTATTATGTAAGTCTTGAAGGTTTATTAGCTGTTTCGTAAAATAAGTGGTGTTGAATGAGCATTTTCTCATTATAGAAATACTTCAAGGACAGATACATTTTATATAGGAACAAGGAATTCAGATACACATAATAATCTGGAGGTGGAAACAACATACTTGGAGTTTTGCAGAGTTTTTTCTTGAATCATACTGTGAAACTTCATTGGGGGGGAGGGTTGGGGGGGTTGTTTGTGAAAGGCAAATGTTAGAAGAATTTTTTCTCAGCTCTAGGAATTGGGCCCTTTCCTGTGTGTGACACATGATAAAGATATCAGAAGTAAAAAATGAAACAAAAAACCCCACCTTCCTCTTCCACACACACAACTTAGATGTTTGTAGTACTTAACACTGTTTTTCTCTTATTGAATTAAATAAAAGTCATTCTAGAATTTTCAAACTTTTGATGATCTACTTTTTCATAAATACGGTTTTCCTCTGGAAAACAAACAAGGCGACACTCCAGTGTTGAAATCACAGTGGTCTCAATCATAGACCTCTGACACTTGATTTAAAATATATAAGAGCATATGTGGATCAGTTGCTAGAGGAGATGGAAGAATACTCCCAGTAGCTTAAACAGCTTTTTTTTTTCTCCCCAGGCTGCAGAGCAATTTTGAAGTGGAAGAGTTGTTTCTAAGTGCCACATTCTGCAGGGGAGCGTGGCCCTTTGCCCTTGATTTCCATCTATCCCCTTACGCTGCAACTTCATGTTCTCTTCCCTCTTCAATCCTTTTGTTTATTTTCCTGTTTCTTTATAAGCTGACAGGGGTATGCAGCACTGCCGTTGCAGCATGTGATCATTTAAACTTCCCTTTGGTACAATTGCTGTGTCAATCTCTGTGCAGTTTCACCCTCTGCATAAGCCCTTCAGCTGCTGTGGCAAGTTCTGTGTGGTGCTGTTAGCATGTGGACAGGCAACGTATCCTGCAACTTAAATATCTATATCCTCTCTCAGCTACACTCCTTTTATAGGCACTTAGGGGAGGAACGAGCACTTTCAGTTGGTAATTTGTCTGACTGTTCTAACGAGTCTACTTCAGGATGAAATGAGTCATGTCTTAGATTCCACAGAACATACTAGCTGGATCCCCTTCAACAGTAAAGAGGGTCTGGGGTGACTAGGTTTGGATATGGAGACAGCAGAGATGGCGATTTAATCACATGAATCCTAGATAGGGTATTCATCGATTGATTTGTGTCACTGATAATTTAAAAGCCTGCAAGCATTTCTCTTAAACTCTCCAAGTCTGTGGGAATGTCACTGTATAGTACTCTAGCAACAAACAGGATTTTATAGGACAGTGGGAAGAACAATTAGAAAACTGTGGGATGAGACAAAGATATAACAGCACACATCAGTCATGTAATGAAGGGAGAATTGGGAAACAATTCTGTGGAAACAAAGCAAAGAGAAGTCTTCATTTGTTGTCCTCCTTTTTAATTGCAAGGGAAGAGCAGGAAATGCAGATGTAGCTACCCAGCTTTGAGGTAGCTAGCGTGACATTTGAAGAGATGGAGGAAGTGAATCAAAAGTCTAAAAATATTAAGGCTGACAGTGACACAGCAGAAACAGGATGTAGCGAAGCCAAATGTGGAAAGCTGAAGTCTGTCTGTGTACTTGGGAGATGAGCCACAACCGGACTTTAACATACTTAGCTAGGAAAAAGTGGAAGTAAAATAGTCATCGAATTTTCAGCATGATAGTAATAAGTTAAAAGATTAATTTACTGTACAATGGACTTGCAGGCTCAGCCACATGCAACAGTCTTGGCAACTGAAAGCAGAGTGAAATGGCATTACTGCTGCTTTGCTGGGCAGCGCTGAGCGGGAGTTAGGTCAGTACTTGCGTGGTGCTTGCAGTAGTGTCTTGTTAACATGGATTTAGCAACAAACCAGGGGTTTGCAAGGAAATGTTTGCCAGAGAAGGAAGTGGGTAATTGGTATTGTCATTGGCAGTAATGTCTTGGTAGCCTATGGCAAGTCTGTTACTTAGAGCTTTGAAGGTGAAGAGTGTGAAGCTGCCGGAGTGTTGAATATTACCAGCCAGATAACTGTCTGAATGTATTTATGGTGATGATAGACATTAACACAAACTATCTTCAAAATTTGTTTACAGTTTTAATATGGGTACTACATTTTTCTGAGAGGAGCTTAGTTTCGGGTTCTCACTCTGAAATCTTCTGTATGCTCTGTATTGTGGAACCTTCACATTTTCTTAAAGTTAGTGCATGTTAATTTAAGATAAGGAAATATCTTGACATTCCTTCCTAGCTTATAGATAGCCCAGTCTAGCTTTGCATCATTTAAAAATTTTAAACTCTCACTGCCAGATTCAGATTCAGAATAACATTTACTAAAGCTAATTAAAGTTTAATAAGTTTAATAAATGTGATTGTTACGGACAAAAAAAAAATCATTAAAGCGTGGTTGAAAATTGTTAAGTTCCAATCAGGTCACATAATAAATTGATGATACTTTTCACTTCCAAACTATTGCAGTTTCCCGCTGTACAGTATTTAATTATGCAACAAATGGTGCCCTTGGCATGACATTTCAATTTAGAACTTCATTTTTCCATTTTTAAAGCTAAAGTAGAGGAATTCAATTAGCATTTTGAAAGGAACACTAAAAATGCAGCATTTTAGCTATGAAATACTTTTAAGGCCTCCATTTGAACAATAATTTAGCTTAGAATCTCATTGACCTTTTGCCTTTGGAGCTGGGATTTTTTTTCCAGTTTCTAAAATCAGAACCGTTTTACCTCAGGCAAGCATTTGATAAAATGAATACTTTCTTGCCAGCAAAAGCAGTGCTTCAGAGGTAACAAATAAATATATTTTTCACTATACTCTTTCTCAGAAGAAAAAAAATCAGATATTAAAAAAATTGAATATTGCATACCAAGTGTCTTAAAAGTCTGTTCCTCAGATCAATAGTTATCATATCAGAAGAATAATCAGTGTTTGACAAGTTTATATTGTTACAGACTCACTATGCACATCAATATCATCCCAAAAACAGCTGAGTGACTTTATAATCACTCTGTGAAAAAAACACCAAGTATAATTGCTTTAAATAAAGTTAGATCTTTATTTGGAGAATATAAAATACCTCTCAATCCAGAGTTCTAGACCGTGGTAGTATAAATACTTGCTTAATCTTACACATGAACAGATCAACTGAAGTCATTAGTGCTGTTTGTCTTGAAATTCGTAAATTGTAGGCTTGCTGAAAGTTTAGTTTAGACAGAAATCCTTTTGGGGCAAGAAATGCCTTTAGCATTATATCAGACAACTGATTTTAAGAAAATACCATTGTATATTGTGGTGAGTAGAAGGAAAATGATGGCTTGATACTTATCCACTTAAACAATTTATGTATCTGGGGTATGCTAACAAACTAAACCCCTCGAAGGAAAACACTGAAAAAAGGGTATGTTTGGTCATTGTCTATTTGTTTGGCTTTTTTCTGTTGTTGTTGTCACAGAAAGAAATAGATGTAGTACTATAATTTTATCAAATTTGTCTTAGATCTGGTCGGTCACTCATCCTCTTTCTCCTCAGAGCTTCACTTTAACATGACAAGTAAATGCTTGTGTAGAATTTGTGCATAAAACTTGGAATACTTTTAAATTCTTAAGGGAAGAATGTTGTACCTGGCATAGCACACTACTTCATTAGCTAGAGCAAAACTGCCCTAGTTTGGATTTTTGTGTGTACAGAAATAATGTATTCCCAGAAAGTATAATTTTCAGAAGAAGCTGTGTCATTACAGAATGACAACTATATTACGTCATTCAAATGCGATGGAACATCCTTTTCCATTTACCTCCATTACTGGTAGTGGTCTGTTGTTCCCCGTGTTCAGCATGAAATACAGCATGTATTTCACTGTCAGAAAACTTCAGTGCAGCAGGAACCCATCATTTTCCTGTTCCTACAGAATAAACAGCGTCCATGGGCATTTGGGAGGCTTTGTAGGGAGAGTTGCGAAGCCCAGTTGTTTCTCGCAAATACAACAAAAGATTTCTTGCATGCTGCTGTATTACTTTTTCCATTCTGTGTTTCACTGTTTTTGTAGCATCATAAATTTGCAGTATAGAGTGTATGAACAATAACAAATGATTATTTTTTCCTTAGCACCAAATAAATTGCTTTGTTTTGCAAATTAATGAATCTTGGTGGACACATGGTAGAGGGAGGCACTTTACAATTCAACTGGCATTTGGGGCCACCCGGAATAAAAGAAAATGCCACTTGAGTATGTCATTGCGACAGGTTATAATCTAATGATTTATTTCCTAGAAATCTGTGCCAGCTGTTACGGGGTAGGTTTTGGCTTTTATGTATTTTTTTGATATGTTTTTTTTGTTGCATTTTTCAGGAGTTATATCCTGCGTTTTGCATTCACAACGGAGGATCTGATTTAGACAGGCTGCCTACTGCCAGTACCTGCATGAACTTGCTGAAGCTTCCTGAGTTTTATGACGAAAATCTTATGCGAAGCAAGCTTCTTTATGCCATTGAATGTGCTGCTGGATTTGAATTAAGCTGAGTCGAACTGATGCTTATTTGGATGATCTGCAGAGGAACTAACCAGTGCCTACTCTATAAGCAGCACCCATACCCAAGCAGTTTCAAGGGAATTCTGTCTAGATTTCTGCAGCTCTTGTGTCTTATCAAATGCCCTCAAATAGGTTTCATTTTTAAACACAATTTCTTAGTTAGCTTTCGTTAATTAATATTACATTGACACTGCTTTATGATTCAAAACAATGAATGCTGTGTGCAGTGTGGCTGTTTTCTGTGTTTATGCAAAGAAAGAGCACATTTAAAGAACAGTGACATCTCAGTGAAATTAACCAAAGATAGAGCTTTGGCTTTGTGCTGTTCAAACATAAATAATTTCACAAACTGGCAATAAAGTTGTGTACCATGCAGCACATTGGGTTGAGACAGGGCTAACATCCTGTAATTAATCTTTTAGATGGAAGTGAAGCAGATGTTTGCAGATATCCCAGAACTGAGGGGATGAAAATGCTCATTACCGATAACCTAACATCTTTACTTATGTTGTAGAATTGTTTACAAATCATAGTTGTTGCAGAACTGATTTTGTTTTATACTACCTTCCCTCAAGATGGTAGGCACTGAGATAAAACATTTAAAATATTCCATTTGTGCTTTCTGAAATACCTTGGAGAAATTGTATTCGCATTATTTTAAGTTCAACCTTTGGCTGCGTCATTATCACTTGGACACTGTCGTGAATGGATGTGACTATCCATGTTCTCTCTGTTCTGTTTCTGTCTTTTGTGCCTGTACAGATTTTTGGTTTTGTTTTTTTAAATGTATCAGACTCCTATTGCATACACAGTACATACAAAAGTCATCACTTTGGAAAAATATACATGTAACAACTATTAAAATTATTTGAACCAAAGTTATCAGGCTTTATCTTTTATATTTGAAGCCTGTGGTGTTCACATTCCTTTCCCCTATCATTTCTTTCCATCTTAAATACCATATCTGTGCCGTAGACACTAGTCAAATTCATCATTTTTTTTGTGATCAAACAGCTTTTGTATCCATCTGCCTGCAGTATTTCTGCTAAGAAATGTAGGTGGGAATATGCTGCTTAATATAATTTGATATCTGGAAAAAAATTGCTTTCATATGGAAGGAACTGATCCTCCAGTAGTAGGCACATCGCTGGGTATTCGTATGCAAACTGCAGTCATTTCAAAAAAGGAATTATAGTTCAAACTGTAAGATTCATAAGTGCATCCCTCTGAACTTTAGTTTTATATTTCAAATCATCAAAATTTACAATCAAATTTGTATTCATCTCTTATGCAAAAAAATATTTTGCTGTTACTGGAAACTCTGTTGGATTTCGTATTTAATGAGCAGTAACCAGCATTTAAATGTGGGGAAACTGAGTGATTTTAAGATGTTTACTAGTAACCATATAAAAATGTATAATTTCTTAATTTGGGTAATAAATGAAGTGTTAAAATACTATTTGTAGTCTTGATGTACAGAAATAAAACGATTGGTTTTCTTTTTGGTTTTGCTTTAGGCTTTTTATTTATGTTAAATGTTACAGCCCAACCTATTCTTTATCCCAGAATTCTTTTCATGTATATTTTTCTACATAAATTATGGAACTTGTAAAGAAGTTGAAAAAGAGGTCAGTAATAGTGGAACTGCCTCCTCCTAATCGCAAAACCTGGACACTTCTTTTAGATGGCATTATTTATTTTAGAACCTAAAGCTTTAAATATTTTGAAATTATTTTTCAGTTCCATTATTTTGCTACATTGGGTAGTGGTGTATCTGTATTTTGTAAAATTAAATTTGAATTTTCTATTAAATATTCGTATTTTGAAGATTGTGTTGGAGTCATGTCAAGTAATCATGACTGGTAATGTATGCTTTCTGCTTTTGTAAAAGGAGACAGTGAACACTATTGCTGGCTGTTAGCACGAATGCAAGTTCAACAGAGAGGGTAGGCTGGGGGGAGGTGTGAGTTGCAGATAGGTGTAGGCATGCAATTGCGAGAATCGCACAGTTGCAGAAAGCTTCAGTAGAGAATTTTGAGTTTGCTGGAAATACTCGTGACTTTTTATTTCTTCAGTATGTAGTATTCGGTGACCTTGTTTTGTATATTCTGTACATGAAATATGAAATTCTGACATACACGAGTCAGTGGGATGGTAGTCGAGATTTCATTCTGCAGGTAGTCCGTTGAAAACCTGTGCCGCAACAGCTTCTACCACTGTCGGTATCCAGACTGCAATAAGAAGAGGGTAGGGCATTCCTTCGGCAACGAGTGCTTTCAATTCTGACTGCCAACTGCTTCTGTACAGTCAGGATGAAGCACGAGTCCCTGCTTTTCAATGATCTATTGCTGGATATTTTAAGGAACAGGAGATAAAGGTTTAAGAAATAATATAGATATAGTTAGTCATCTCCTGAGGAGCTAGGCGGTCTAAATGATCTCTCGTAGCTCTTACGTAGCAAGAATTGTTTGTGTATGAAAATGGATTTTCTGTTTTTTAAAAGAAGAGCGGACTCTCTCCCAGTTGTGAAGCTCCCAGAGTTTAGGTAGGCAGAGGCAGGAAGCACTTTGCATGCAAGTAACCTGAAATATTACTGTAGATCTTGATCATTGGAATTATAGCAGTAATCATTATGGGTTTGGAGTTGTTTTCTGTACAAGACAGCCCTTCCTTAAAGTCAATTTCTGTACTTCAGTGCTTTGTCCTGCTAGTTCAGTACTTGCTTTTTAAAAAAAAGGACAGCATTTTCTGTTTGGTTTTTGTTTTCAAACGATTTCTGTTTTACAATTTTGTAACCTGTTTCAAAAACATTTTTGTCAAGTTTATGATGGAAGAGGTTGCAAATTCTTCATCTTTCCAAAGTTAAAAGTCATAAAAGTGTAATAAAAAAAATAAAATTAGCACTTGGTCTGCTTATCTCTGTGAGAATTTTTCCAGGTGTGGGTTTAGTCCTACTGGCTGGATTAAAAAAAAAACAAACACCAAACCAACAGTTGTTGGCCTTGTTCCTTAATCTCAGTTGTCTTCCATCATGGTCCTGAAAGCCAGACTTGTATAAATTTCACAAAACTCACTTGTGATTTCTAGGGAGAATTTATGTCTACAAAAGAAGAAAGATTTGGCTCCAGTTTCATGCGTAAACACTGAGCAGACAGAAGTTTGATTTGAACAAGAGTATCTTCAGTTAATTTTGTGTGGGGTGCTCCATAATTTAAAAAAAAAAAAAAAAAAAAAAAAGCGCTTCCTGATGCTGTTGGTAGCAATGTGGACAGATTTTCTGGCATCACTTGAGTAACCTAGCACAAACATCCTAATTTGATCTGCAAAGGGGTTTGGAATCCAGAGAAAACAATTAAAGGAGTGCAGTGAGCTCATGCTAAATTTCAATTTAAACCAAAACCTGTGTGTTAAATGCCAGTGAGACAGCACATACTCTTCACCACTGAAAAACAGTGCAGCACAGAAACAAAAAGGGAAAAACAAGGGAGCTGTTTTTCTTGGAATGTTTTGTTGGAGCTGTAATTTTTTTTGTATTTATAATAATTATATGCAAAAACTTTAAAACATTTGCTCATATACATGAATCTGTGTTAATAATGGTTTGTGATGTAAATGCTTGTTAGTATTTTTTTTCATGATGCTTTGCCTGTCAGTGAAGGAGAGAAGAAACGAACATGGTCTGTAAAACTGATCAGGATATCTATATTTTTATTGACTTCTGCTTTTGTGAATAAAATAATTTGAGTTTTCTTGAAACTTTGCAGAAATGCTCTTTCTTCTTTTATTTTTTTTAAGTAAATTTGGCATTCTCTTGCTAAAGATTGATAGTACTGAATAGGTTCTAAAAGGGAAGCTCCTATTAACTGCTCGTTGGTGTTGAAGTTACTGATGTTGGAATGGGCTGCCCAGGGAAGGGGTCGAGTCCCCATCCCTGGAGGTATTTAAAAGCTGGGCAGACGAGGTGCTTAGGGACGTGGGCTAGTGGTGGGATGGCAGGGTTAGGTTAACGGTTGGACTTGATGATCTTAAAGGTCTTTCCCAACCTAAACGATTCTGCTGCTTCAGGATGATTTTGTAACTTCAGTTTTTGAGCTGTGAGGTTCCCACTCTTGTCAAACTTCATCTATAAGGTTTAGCTTGCTTTCAGCATGTCAAACAACGTAGCCAGGATCAGAGAGGTGTGCTTTGAAAAAACTTCCTCAGAATCTTTGGAAAGAACAAAACTCCCTCCTTGGATAAAAATATGAGAAGCTGTAATTCACAGTGAAGAATGCTACTCTGTCAGGAAACGTACAAAACCATCTCTTTCAGCTTCTGAAATTTTATTTTTCTGGAATTTAGTTTTTATCTCCTTTGATAATTACAATTATCTGCTTCCCTTTGCTTTTCTATTAATTTCATTGCTAAATACACTTCTAGTTCCATGATAGCATCTATTAGTATTGTGCATGTTTATTTTGGAATACTTACAAATAGCAGCATGTATTCTTCAGCTTACCTGCCACTAAAAATGTGGTAAACGGAGAAATTCCAGAAAACTCCTCTTGTGGGGCATTTCATAATTCATAGCACGAATAGAACATAAATGCCCAGATACCCTGCCTGGTTTTCAGTCTGTATCTGGTAGTCGGGAAAGCTCATGAAGTTCTGATGTGTGAGAGAGGCAACACAAGGCAAGAAGTGATTATGAAGTGAGACCAGTTGAATCCATTTCAAAGAAGAGAGAATGGCTGAGGTCAGCTTTTGAGATCATCTAGTCTGACCCCTCTGCTCGAGGCAGGGTCACCTACAGCTCAGGACCTTGCCCCGTGGAGTTCTGAATGTCTCCATGCATGGAGACTCCACAACTTCTCTGGGCAACCTGTTCCAGTGTTCAATTGCCTTCACAATAAAACATTTTTAATCGGGTTTAAACGCAATTTCTTGTATTCCAGTTTGTGCCCAGTCCCCCTTGTCCGGTCACCGGGCAGTACTAAGAGGAATCTGAGCCAGGCTGAACAACGCCCAGCTCTCCTGGCCTCTCCTCATACAACATGTGCTCCAAAACCTTGCTAGTTAGTGAACACACCCGCATCTTCAAAATACCTTTTGTGGCCTTTGATGTGACTGAGGACCACGCAGACTACACTAATTCTCCTCCTTGTCGGGTGCCTGTAGTTGTTAATACATGGCACTTACCAGGTAAGGTTGGATTTAAGATTTTGTGGCTTTGCTTTTTCAACTTCCAGTGCTGCTTTATCAACTGCAAAATAACAGGCTTGGTAAAAATTGAGGTCTCAAATAATTTTCACAACTTTTTATAGATATGATGCTAAACATTGACGCAAAACCACAGGACTAATGCCAAATGTTAAATCACCTAAACGTGTATTCACCTCTTCTGCCACCGACAGTATCAAACATCTCGAAGCGTAACTTCTTGGACAGGGTCCTGCAATTTGGCTTCTACAGAGGTTGGGCAGCCCAGTGCTAGGCGCAATCTGGCAAAGCACGGCAGGCAAACAGGAGAAACACGGGAATTCTGACTGGCAGCAGTGGGACTGCTTGTACGTAAAGGTATGCATAGAGACGTCCTGCAGGCTTGATTTCTCGCTGTCAAGGGATGAACTTCCCTTGTGTGACGGTTAAATCATTGCTACATTTTGTTGCCAGAATAGTTGCTCTCCAGGCTGGGACGAAGTTTACCTGTCCACGGCTCTGCAGAAAACATACGTTCTGTTTGCAGTGTTTGTTAACGTATTTATAGGAACAGCTTGCTCAAATGTCCTGCTATATTTAAGATCATTCTTTTCTACATTCCCGGAGCAGCTGTTAGTTCATTCTGTGTAACATTTGACTGAAAGCAGTTTTGCATTATTTCTATTTTATTCTCTGTTTATAGTTACACATACCTCTCGATTGCTGAAGAAGGAAGCAGGCATTCACCAGATGGTGTTATTTCAGATCATCTTGCTACTTCTGCTTACCCAAATGTTAGATCTAGGAAAAGCATCTCTCACCAGTTGCTGTGTAGTTTTGCTGTATGTTGTCAAACACACCTTCTGAAGAAATTAGTTCCTTCTAGCCCTTGTATCTTTAATTATGAATAGTTATTTTCCTTACAGCTCTGCTTACTGCTTTTCTTTTTTCCCTCTGCGCTTTCAGGCAAACAGCAGCAGAGTTCAAAGTTCTGCAAAGAGATTTCAGGTCTAATTATCTTTTAGATTTATAGAATCATAGAATGTTTTGGGTTGGAAGGGACCCCTAGAGATCATCTAGTCCAACCCCCCTGCAGTGAGCAGGGACACTGCTAACTCCATCAGGTCGCTCAGAGCCCCATCCAACCTGGTCTTGAATGTTTCCAGGGATGGGGCCTCCACTACCTCTCTGGGCAACCCATTCCAGTGTTTCACTGCCCTCATTGTAAACAATTTCTTCCTTATATCCAGTCTAAACCTACCCTGCTTCAGTTTAAAACCATTACCCCTTGTCCTGTCACAGCTGTCCCTGCTAAAAAGATTTTCCCCGTCTTTCCTATGGGCCCCCTTTTAATTACTGAAAGGCCGCAATCAGGTCTCCCCTCAGCCTTCTCTTCTCCAGGCTATTGATTCAAAATTACATAGAATTAACTAATATTTGGCAGTGGCATATGGATAAGAAAGCACATCCCTGATCAAGTTAATGAGCATAAATGCTGATTAAGCGGTCCTTGGAAAGAATAAGCACTTGCCATAAGCTGCGAGATCTGACTGCCCACAACAGTCCTCAGGTTGTTGTCTGCACGCCCCAAATAACCAGTAAATCACATCTGATACTTCAGGAGGAACTGGAAAAAACACCGGCTATCCTGAAAGGTTTTAACCATTTTCAAAGCATCCACTTGGCTCAAACTTTTGGTTACAAAGAGGAGTCCAGATAAACTTCCAGCTTCTTGATTACCTGAGAAGCACCATAGCAATGAAAATTGAGGTTGTGCTCGGCAGAAAAACTCTGGAGATTGCTAATGAAAATTGGTTATTTTGTGCTTTTAATGCTTCTACTTAAAGTTTTAAACATTAGGTGTATTGCCCATATTTCAAGTCTAATTGTTTCTGATAAGCTATCAGCAAAAAGTTAATGCTTATATTTAATTAAGTGGCACTTTCCAGAATTGCTTTGCCAGTAGTACTATAATTAAATGATGCGAGAACAGTCTTTGATACATATGCTCATATTCTTTGCTAATACCAAAAATAGAATGTGTAAATCTGTAAATAGAAAAACTGGATGCATTAAGCAGCAGGCCAGAGCAGCAGGCCAGGAAGGCTACAGCCATTACCACATCAAAGGGACTAATATTAATATCTCTCTAATGCAGCATTTTCAAGCATTTCTTGTGTTCTGATGGGCTTTTCATAATTGACCTCCATAAGTCATAAAAAAAGATTAAAAAAAAGAATCTGGGAACTATGTGAATTGCTAATACCTCCTGGAATGCTGCCACTTTATTTCCATCATTAGGTTATAGCTACCAGTTAGGCTGAATTCATCTCACTTAACTTCAACCGTCTGTAAGGTGGCTGTCGAGGCACTTCCGATGAAGGAGAGGCAACCCAGAGACAGAGCTCCAGAGGGAGGGTCTTTCCTCACTAAAATACATCTCCAAAGCAGGTGGGATAATTCGTGCCCCGGAGGTGCCCCCTCCTTCTCTCTCTCCTGGTAGTCGGAGGCCTTAAACAAGATGCATAACTTTCAGACAGCTGAAGTGAAACCAGACCTTTGCCTCGTGTTCCCAGGTGAGAGTTGAAAATTCCTGAACAATGAAGATGCTTTGATAACAGAGTTTATTCTGACTTATGACTCAGCACTTGGAGACCAGCCCAGGTCTGCCTGGATCTTTGATACCAGCTTTGACAGACCCACCAGACTTTATC